AAGTTTTTGCATATGTCTGTTTTTGTTTTTTGGACAGCGTTTTGGGAAACAAAGTACTTCTCTGTCTTATTTCCTGTTTTCATCACAGATTACAAGCCGGATAGCATTAATGTTTATGCAGGAAACCAAAAAGCAGTGATTTATGGCCAAACCCGGTCGTGCGGGTTACAGTATGCTGTACCACAATGCGCTCCGTTGCCACAAAGATGTCCACAGGAAACGCAGTGTCAGCGCTAATCTGCAGTGTTAGCACTGTCCACTGTGTGTTAACTGACACTAGTGCTGTCTAGTCCAGTCCAGTGAAGATTCAGGATATAGAGTTACGACACGCAGCTCCCAAACTGCATTCAGACCCGTCATCAACGATCCAGTTGGTACGTTTCAAAGTGAGAGGATGCAACTCAAACAGGGTACAGCAAACTCCTTAGCCAGTGCTCAAGTTAGACGCTAATCTCGATGTAATATATGTAAGCCATATCCATTTAAATAGTTAATAGGCTGTTATAAATTCTGTCTAGTCACACACACACACAGAGTGCTTTGTTACAACCTAAATACCCTCGCCATTTTGCATGTAATTAAATTATGTAGAAAACTGACCAGATACACATGACTGAAGCCATTTTATTGAGTTATAAGTAAGTTTGGAACATTCCAGTGTTCTAGCTCTGATGCTTAATTAATCACTAAAGGGTAAATAACAGTCTGTTCAAAGTACAGGTCAGTTGTTGCTGTATGACTGCAAACTGCAGTGGTCCAGGATGTGAGACAGCCCATTTTGATTTAATAACCACCCCCCGAGGCGGAAGCTCTGTGGTTCCACCCTTCAGAGCCGTCCCCAAACACAGCTGCACGTTCCTGAGACTCTTACTCATTCGGGGCTGGGGGGGACAGCGAGAGATACGTGGTGAATCGGGCCACTATCCCCCCCCACGGGTCAGTGAGTAGCACTCGTGGTCTGTGGGCAGCTGTGATGGTCAAAGGTGATTAGTCAAAGGTCACAGAAAACCAGAGAAAGGTCACAGTCCCTTAACTCACAGGCTCGCAGGAGACGCTACCAGGAAGTGTGGCTCACGGCAGCCTGTTGACTTAAGGGTGGGGTGTCACTTTGATATGAATCGGAGAGGCCTGGGGTTACATCTGGCCTGGATACTGTAAGGTATGAGACATTTATAAAGCAGGGAGTGTCCTTACTTCATTGTTCCTAACAGACCCCCAGCTCTCATTTTTCTATGCTGGGAAATGTGCCGATTTTGATTTCTCCTCAAGGCCTGCTTGTTGTCTTAAGACTGTCCTTTACATATACAAACGTCGCTATCCCCGAATGTTAGAGAGATCAGCGGTTTGATGTCTGAGGCAAGACGATTAAGCAAGCAGTGTAAACAATGGTCAGAGATCATAAAGCGGGGGGCCAACGAGAGTTATAATCCTGGAAAGCCGTTCACGCTCCCGCAGGGCTGTCATGGCGGACTGTGATTCTGCGGGTGTGGTGACGGACGTGGCCAGGCCAGGTGGGGAGGGGGACGGAAGTGTTAAGGCTTCTGTCAGTGAGCAGCTGTGATTTAACGACTCATCAATACTGATTTTAATCAGCTCTGCCCCCCACTTTCAGAACACAGGACTGAAATCACACGTCACCTTTTGAGTGGCTCAGTCAGGGATACTGCACTTTTCATTCTTTTGATCGGTCTGTATTGCAATTTATTTTTTAATTTCACTTTGGTTTAGTTTAATTCTAGCAGGTCTGCTCATTATTATGGTTCCTTACCTGTAGTTTCTCCACATATCTTGTAAATGCAAGCGATACCACTGCATTGTAACAGGCATGTTTACTGCGTTATGGGGTCCCCACTGCATTGTCACAGGCATGTTTACTGCGTTATGGGGTCCCCACTGCATTGTCACAGGCATGTTTACTGCGTTATGGGGTCCCCACTGCATTGTAACAGGCATGTTTACTGCGTTATGGGGTCCCCTCTGCTCAGCCTTTACCCTCATTAGTGTTTCACACATTTAACAGTAACCCTCAGATCTCAGCTATTTGAAGTGCCCATTTTTTATATTAATTATGAATCAACCAGAAACAATGTAGGAAATCATATATGAAACTGGGGAAGGGTATCTGGATTAGAGGGTTTGCGATTTTTAACTTTTTTTTTGTGGTTATGCAATGAAGAAACATTGGGTCCAGAACTGCTGATAATATTGCTTTATGACCAGATCTTGTCAGCCCAGTCCATTTACAATGTAGATGTGGAGTTTAATAAGGACAATATGATGCAGGTACGACAGATTTATGTATGAGCACAAAAAAAAAAATTTAATCGGTAAGCGTTATGTGTATGATTATATTAAATCACACTAGGACCGTGAATTTTAAAACAAAGAAGAAAACGTCTGCCTGTTTGTAATTGTAATACTTTCTGATCAGGACCCCGTGCGTGACTAAATCATATAATTGCAGCCAGGCACATTTCTCGGGTCTGTGATGTAAAGCCCCCAACCCCCCTCTGTCCCCACCCCCCACAGTGAACCGTCTGACCCGAGAAAACCCCGTCTGCAACCGGCGGAACACTGCCCCCTTTCGGACGATTCCGCTGCGGTTTAGCGAGTAGTGGGTCGACCAGATCTGTGTATCAGTGGGCGTCCTGTAGAATTTTCGTTGCGACTATCTACAAATCCAACTAATTCAGTAACATTTCATTAATGCACGTTAAGACTGGAAAACGTAACGCTTTAACATATTGGGTTTCGCAGTGGCACGGCGCCCCCATCTGTGTGCACTTCCAGTGGAAACAATCTTTTTCCCCTTTCTGTCTCCACAGAAGTTTCCATTATAATTAAACGATGAATATAGGTCATATAATAACGCCGTCTGAGACGACAGCGACATATTGAGGGTAGTCATTCATATATAGATGTTTAGAGAAGTTAGTTTTAACGATTACCGATAGTAGTCACCAGAAAAGTTGATCCTTCTGATTTCGGAGTCTGGTGTATAACAGGCACAGTTTACAGGTTTAATAAAATTGGTTATAATGCCGATAATCGGCGTGACTCATTTAGGTCTAATTCAAAGAAGTGGCGTCATTCATCCCTGCGGCTGAAATCAGGGCGCCAGCTCACGCTTTAGAAACCTTACGGCAAATCTATATTAATCCGTTATAAACCTAAAATTAGCTACATCAAAAGCGTTGAGGCAGTTTGCAAACCCTACAGACTATTTGCAAGGAAATAAAACTCTTACATACATGCAAATACGTGTGCAGACTTGTCTCGAATTGGAAATCTCACTCTAGACAGTTGACCATATCGGAAAATAAACCTCGAAGTTTGACAATGGTTGATTCCATGCTGATTAAAAAGCCTACAGATACAAAGGTTAATGACGTATAATATATATAAAAAAAGGCTAAACGAGCGCACTGATTTTCCCACTTACCTTCAGCTACGGCGTTAGAGTATCTTGCGCAGGCCCACGTGACTCACTGCTGACCTCATGTGGACAATCGACGGTAGTGCAGCACATCTCTGCGTTGAAGAGAATCCCTTCATTGACTGTAAACAAAATCCACTGGATATCTTCAATATTGCTTCGTGTTGTTTTAAATTGCTGAATGAATTGGAAATATACACGTGTTTTTACAATAAATGAGCAGTAGCTGAAATGATTTGTATACACTTTGGTCGACGCTGAAGTTCTTAAACAGACTTTAGGGCAAATAAACACCCAAATCGGCTGCGGAGTATGACAACAAACTGGCAAATGGTTCGAAAAACGTAATTGGGATTGGATTAAGATAAAAATCGTATTTTCATGTTCATCACAGTATCTCAGTAGGAAGCAAGGGTGTCTTACACCTTCAGATTTGGGAGGGGCGTTATTAGAATTAGAATTAGAATTTAGTGATCAGTGGTCATTGTCAACACACCACAGCACACAGTGCGCAACAACGAAATGTGACCTCTGCATTTGACCCATATGTGACTTTCGTGACATAGCAGGGGGCAGCTAATTAAGCGCCCGGGGAGCAGTGCTTGGGGACGGTACCTTGCTCAGGGTATCTCAGTGGTGACTTGCTGGTGGGGGATTTGAACCTGCAATCTTTCAATTACAAGTGCGCTACCCTAACCATCAAGCCACCACTGCCCACAAGAAAAAAAGCATCTGTCAGAAGTGGTCAGAAGGGTTATGTTCCCTTTCTGTGTCGTATGGGATGATCCCAGGTACCTGCTGCTACTGTAGGTAAACGGGTCCCTTTGTGTGTCATGGATGTCCTTCCTGCCCAGGGTCTCCCTTTGTGTGTCATGGATGTCCTTCCTGCCCAGGGTGTCCCCCTGCTCTTGCTGCCTGGGATAGGCACCAGGCCCCCTTGCAAATCTGCTCTGGCTATACATTTGGAAGACAGGTGGGATCTGTGGAATAATTTAATTTCCTGCTGTGTTCAGAGCACCAAGGTGCAGTTTTTTTTGCAAATTAAATACTTAGAAACTCCCTACTGACCTGTGATGTGGATGTTAGATCCCCACATTACAGGCTGGCTTGTGCCATCAGACAGTGTGCACTATAAAAAAAAAACCCTGTTAATTTTATTCGTTTACTCTGTGTTGGCATTGTCAGTTACAATAAACCATATAATTAAATGCATATAGCCTTCTATATGGGGATAAATTATCTTGCCATATAGGGGAAAAAAAAACGGACCAGCTTTCACCAAAACTTATCCATGTAATGGGAAATTCAGAGTGAAATGGGGCGAATCTCGTGTTTATGTTCCGCATGCTTATGTTCCGGGTGCCATGTTTCCTCATATTTCTGTTCTTCCTGTTACATTTAAAAGTCAGTCTGGTGGTTTACGGCTATTCTGTGATCTGTTCAGCTGCCTTGACCTGAACGTGACTGCAGTGTTCTATAATGGGTTGAGTTCGTGACATAGCATGGCTGTCCATGTATGAGGACACCACTGACCCAGGGTCTCGCACCCTGTGTGTCCCTACAGAGCCAGGCCAGGAGCAGGAGGGGGCAGCAGACAGACCGTCCTGGGCGGGCAGCACCATGGCTGAGCCGGACTACATTGACGCGGATTGCGATGAGCTCATCAAGCCAAAAAAACTCGTGAACCCATGTAAGTCTTCCAGGAACCATCAGGACCTGCACCGGGAACTGCTGATGAACCACAACAGGTGAGACACCTGCTTTGTCCTTCTGTGAGGGCTGGGGTGATCATCACACATATGTCTACATCATGATAGAAGTCGAACAAACTGTCCTAAAATTTCTGCCAGGTGCAGAGAAAAGGTAAACCACCCCCCCCCCCCCACCAAGATAACACACGTAGCTGGCTTACGGAAAATGAAGCAGTGCATTTTAAATGTCAGTCTGATGTCATTACTGCCAAATCCATTTATGTAATGGTGGAGAGAGGGGATGTCTTTAGGCAGACGGCTCGTGGTGACTGACTGGACGAAGGAAACTTGTATCAGTCTGTAATTTATTAAAGTCTGGGGGCTTCGGTGTAATTAGTACCATCAGTGTAAGAGCTTTAGCGGCCCTCATGGGGACGTCTTGTGTGACGTAATCCTGAGGTTTTAGACACAGAAGAGCCGGTGTCTGTGCTTCCACTCGCATGTATTATCAGTGACGAGGGGATTCCATTGTGCCTCTGTTAGACGCTGCAAAGCAGAGTGTGGGAGTGCCGAGAGCTCAGGGAACGCAAGACCTTGTAGGTCGTCAGCTTTTCTGAGGGCAAATATTTCCTCATAAGCAAAATAATAAGTTTCATGAAGAATTTCATGAGATCATGCTAGGAAACATAGTTCAATTTATAAAGATATTTGTCTACATGAACACATTTAAGTATGCACAGCCAAATAAACCCCCGGGCAAACATTTGGTTGGACAACCTATTGTACATCATTAGTCGTTATCCTGAGGGCCCACAGTTTCTGAAAGACTACAAGGGAAAGTGACGATGCGGGTGCCCTCCCCGCAGGGGCCTGTCTCCCCAGAACAAGCCGGAGCTGCAGAAGGTCATGGAAAAGCGGAAGCGGGACCAGGTGCTGAAGCAGCAGAAGGAGGAGCAGGAGGCCCACACGAAGCTCTCGGACCTGGAGATCGAGCTGATGAAGCGGCAGCAGAAGCTGGAGCAGGTGGGACCAGCCGGCAGCACGCATGCTAGTGCACCTGGGCTTCATTCACAGGGGTGAACACAGTAGATCCTTCGGTGACCAGCAGAGATAGGGATATAGGGATCTCGCCTACCACCAGCAGAGATAGGGATATAGGGATCTCGCCTACCACCAGCAGAGATAGGGATATAGGGATCTCGCCTACCACCAGCAGAGATAGGGAT